ATTGATGTACCCTGCAAAAATATCTTTCAAAATTGATGGAGAAATAAGATACTTTCATGACAAAGAGCACCATAGGAACTTCATGAATACCAAACAAGCACTCCAAAAATTTTACACAATACCCTAGGAAAAGACAATGAGGATCACAGCCCAGGAAGCCCAGCACAATGAATGCATTGGGCACAACAAGAAATTAAATGCAAAGGGGGAGAATCCAACAAAAAGAAAAAGTCATGACAGTGATAAGTCAATACATATCAGTTATAACCATCATTGTTAATGGTCTCAATTCATCAATCAAAAGAAACAGACTGGCAGAATTGGTCAAGAAGCAAGATCCAACAGTATGCTGCATACAAGAAACACACTTAACTCAAAAGGAAACTCATAGACTGAAAGTTAAAGGGTGGAAAACAATACTCCATGTGACAGGAACCCAAAAAAAGCAGGAGTAGCTATCCTCTTTGCAGATCAAGTAGATTTCAAACCAACACTGATGAAGAGACACAAAGAAGGACACTATATCCTTGTAAAAGGAACAATCCAAGAGGAAGAGATGACAAGTAATAAATATATATGCACCAAACACTAGTGCACCCAACTATATAAAACAAATACCAACAGACATGAAAAATCAAATAAGCACTTATACAATAGTAGTGGGGGACCTTAATACCCCACTCTTACAAATAAATAGATCAACTAGATAAAAACTAAACAAGGAAATACTAGAACTCAATCAAACTCTTGAACAAATGAACTTAACATATGTTTACAGAGTGTTCCACCCCCCAAAATCAGAATACATATTCTTTTCAGCTACACATGGGTTGTTCTCTAAAATAGACCAAATACTAACTCATAGAATATGTTTAAGTAAGTGCAAAGGAACTGAAATTATCCCCTGTATATTATCAGATAATAGTACGACAAAATTGGGGATCAATAGCAAAAGAAACAGCAAGAATTTCATAAACTCAGGGAAACTGCACAACACACTTCTGAATAACCAATGGGTCACAGAGCAAGTTGAAGAAATCAGGCAGTTCCTACAATTAAATGACAGTGACAATGCAACATATTGGAATCTATGGGGCACAATGAAAGCAGTCTTACAAGGGAAATTCATAGCAGTGAATACTCACATTAAGAAACCAGACAGAGCTCAATTAAACAACCTGATGCTGAACCTCAAGCTTCTAGAAAAAGAAGAGCAAGACAAACCCAAAGCCCATAGAAAGGAGAAAACTATAAAGATCAGAGCAGAAATAAAATCAATGGAGATGAAGAGAACAATACAAAAAATTAATGAAGCCAAGAGTTGGTTCTTTGAAACAAACAACAAAATTGACAAACCCTTAGCCAACCTTATCAAGAAAAAGGAAAGAAAAGGCCCAAATCCATGCAATTAGGAGTGAAAAGGGTGAAATTACAACAGATCCAGCAGAAATACAGAGAATGATCAATACCAACTTAGAGAACCTATATGCCAATAAGATGTAAAATACAGAAGAAATGGACAGATTCCTAGATAAGTATGAATTCCCCAAGTTGAACGAAGAAGACTTAAAAATTCTAAACAACCCAATATCAATCAATGAAATTGAAAATGTAATTAAAAACTTACCAGCTAAGAAAAGCCC